ATCCGGATACAATCATACGGTTAATCCGTTCAGGAATACAAATATTTGATAGTTCAATATGTACATTGTTGACCAATAGAGGTCGTGCATTGCCATCACCATTAATTTCGAATGTTGAACCAAAATTATTATTCGAACGATCAACAACCGAAACAATCGACGACGACGACGATCCAAATCCATCGATAATCCTGGATTTGAATAATATTTCCTTTAAAAATAGTGATAGATTAATAAGTAACAAATGTAAATGTTATACATGTAACAATGGTTTTACACGTTCATATATTAATCATTTATTGAAACGTAATGAAATTAATTCCAGAATTTTATTACAAATTCATAATCATTATGTTTTAACGGAATTTTTTAAACGAATTCGTTTGATAATTATTGATGGATGCTTTGATCAATTACTAGTCAATAGTAATGTTTTGGATGATAAATTTAGTCAACCACAACCACCATCATCAACAACCATGACATCATTACCGAACGGCAAATAAATTCAATTATCATCAAAAACAATGACCGAAAAACGACTGACCAAATGATCATCATCAGTTATTTGATTTGATATACGTCGGGGGTGAACTCACTTGATTTACTTTGCTTGACTCTTGATCATTTTTCTCCCTGAAAAGCAACCATAATTAATCATAATGATGATCATCATGATGGAAATCTTGAATTTAAAATGAATAAAAAAAATGGATTTTTGTTTCTTGTTCTTCATACTTGACATGAACAATATATGATGTTAACCAAATGATAATGATGGAAAATAAAAATTGTTTATAAATTTGCTTGTTTTCGCAGTTTTTGTTATTATCGTTATTGAAAGGAAACATTATTTTCATTTCAATAACGATAATCTTGAAATAATAATAATGATAATCATTATTATCATTATGGATTCGATTTTTTTTATAGATAAATAAATAATAACAGTAATTTGTAATTTGTAACAACAACAACAATGATAACAACAACAATAAAAAAATGATTAATAGTTGTTTTCGGTTTTTTTTTTGTAATTCTGTTTACTGTTTTATTGTTGTAATTCTGTTGTCATTTGAATTTATCAAAATTCTCCATTTTCATTGTTGATTTCCATTCAAATGATTTTAGCGTTTGTGTGTATGTGTGTGTGTGTGTGTTTATGGATGGATATTATATTAATAGATCCATGAATCATTCTGTTTATTCAAAGATTCTGTTTTATTTGCTTTGTCGTCGTATTTAAGTTTGATTTTATTTTATTCAACTTTGATTCTTTTCTTTTTGTTTGTCAAATTCGTTTGAAATGAATGTGAATGTGAATGAATGCAAGAGAAACTAAAAGCGAAAAAAAATTTCACATTTTTCAATTCAAAAAATCGATCATTATTTAGATGGATTTATTAACATCATCGACGATGATGATTGGCAAAAGTCAAACAAACAAAATCAAAAATCAAATAAAATTATCTCAGAGCAACAATAATGATGGCTGATTTATTTTTCGGTTGTTTATCGGTTATTTTCGCTTTTTCTGCATTCTTTTTCGTCGTCGTCGTTGTCATTATTATAAAAGAAAATTTTTCAACAACGAAAAACCAAACACGTGGTGTGTGTGTGTGTATGTATACAATGCCAATCACAATCGATCGGTCGGATGTGCTTTTTCGTTTGTAAATTGAATAAATCTTTTGCCAAACTTTATTCAATTTACAAATTTGCTGTTGTTTTGTTTTTCCCTTGACTTTTGTTTTCCCATTCTGTGTAATGACATAAACAACACTGAATGTGTTGATGGCTCGAGAGTTCGAGAGTTCGAGAGAGAGAGAGAAACATCAATTATTTAGAGAGAAAATTCTTGAATTAATTTTCATCGAAACAAAAATTCTTGTTGTTGTTGTTGTTATCATTGTTGTTGTTGTTGTTGTTGTTGTTGTTTTTTGTTGTTTGTTTGTTGTTATCGTCATTATCATCATCATTTTGCCATCATTTAAATTAATGATAATTAATTCGTTTTCGTTTCGTTTTTTACGCTGAAAAAATTCTTTCTGTTGAAAAATCTGCTAAAAATAAATTGAAAAAAAAGCAAATAGAGAAAATTAGTCAGTAACAACCAAAATGCTGATGGTAATCACTTTTTTGTTTTCTTGTTGTGGATTTTTCTTTTTTTGCTTAAATCAATGTTGATGATGATGGTTATAACATTGGATAATTGAAAAAATTACAACCAAAAAAAATTCAGGCAGAAAAAGTGTGAATTAGAAAAAAGAAACTTTACGGAAAAAATAATTTCGGGAATTTTTATTTTCCGGAAAATTTCTCAATCAATTTTTTCCTGTTTGGCTATAGCTGATTCCACTGTATTTCACAATCCATTCTGGATGATGACCTGAATTCTCAGCGTTTGATTCTATTTTGCATCATTTTTTTTTCTCTTGAAATTTTTTTTAATGGTCAAAATTTTAATTTTTCAATTTTGGTTTAGGAAAAAAACCAAAAAAGCAAATTTCCTTTTTTCGAAAAAAAATTATATCCAAGGTTTTCTGGCTGAGTATATGATGGTTTCCTGTCGTTTTCAAAATTTCTCTCGCGTTTTTTCAATTTCCTAAATGTAAATTTAACAAGATTTTTTTATAAAATAAAAAAAAAATCAAATGAAATCACCTTTACCATTCTCGATAATTTGAATCGATTTTTTTGTTTCTTTCTTTCACTGAAATTGATTGGAAAAATGAATCATTCAGAAAAAACAGTTGAAAAAAAAACGATACATTCCTTTTTTTTCTTTCTTTCTTTCTTTTGAAAGATAAAATCTAAGAAAAAATTAAACATGCATTTAGGTTCCATTACACACAATTGAATTATGCAATCCTCACACAAAAAAAAAATGCAAAAACGACAAAATACCATGAACTTTATCCTATCTCTTGATATATACCGCTATGTATCAAGCTCTCTTTTTTTTTCTCTCCTTTTTTTTCTTCATTTTGGGAAATTTTTCTTGAAAATTTTGTAACTTTATTCGACTGGATTTTCGTCATTTTTTTTGCCATCTCTTTCGTCGTCTCTCACTTAAACTAACTTGTTGATCAAGTTACACACTCACAACAAATCATAATCATTATTCATTTTATCTTTTTTTTTGTTTGTAGTTTTTATTGCAAAAAATTTGTAAAAAAAAATCTAACTGAGAGTTATGAATTATGCAAAAATTTCGAATCGATTATGTTCAGAAATGAACAGAAAAAATGGATTTTTTTTTTGCTTGCTGAATTTTTTTATTAGCAAACGAACAGAAAAAAATGAATTCAAGGTGAAATCGAAACATGAAATTAAAAATGGTGGAACAAAAAAACATTTCTTCATCATCATCATCATCGACGTTTTTCTGATCGTCAAACGTTTGTTTGTTTGTTTTGTTTTCAATTCCGTTTCAACAACCGTTTCTTGATTTTTTTTTTTGAACAAAAGATGCTTGTTTCGTATCGAAAATCAATCATTTTCATTCGAATATTGATCATCATTGGTTTTATGATCAATCGGATTGATTGCGGTAAGAAAAAATCAACTACAACAAGTGGTAAAAATAAAAATCAAAACATCAATGATAATCAATGTTTGGATGATGTAAAAGAAAAATTTGATATAAATGTAGCAAAATTAATGAGTTTAGGACGAAATGGTCGTCGTTGGCCTGAAACTGAATCTGAACATGATTCATATTGTGCGTAAGTTTTCGCTTAAATTTTGCTTTGAAGCCAATTTTTTGATTTTTGATTTAACCGTTTCAAAGTGAAACAAAACGCCTGAATCAACATTTAGATGATTATAAAACAACATGTTCATCTGGGCCATCAAAAGAATTTGCATCAATCATTCTGTTTTCATTACGTCGTGTAACACGGCAATATTGTCGTAAAACCCATACAAATCAACGTAGACATAAAAAATTATTTGCAATGTATAAATGTTCAAATCAATTATCAAATCAAACTGGTAAATGTTTAGAAGATTATATCGATACATTATTATCAACAGTAAAACTATCGACTATTCAACAAAAAATTCCATATACATGTTGGTAAGTTACATTTTCATATTAACTTTTGTGTTACGGTTGCATAATTTTTTGTAATTTTCTTTGTAATTTCTTCGTTTTTGTAATTTTTTTCCCCCGTGTTTTTTTTCTCCTTGTAATTTTGATGACTACGATGGAAAAACTACCCTTGGTACTTTCAAGTAATTATTTTGAATTATTAAAATGTACGGATGATGTATTTCATTCGGATCAAAAATGTGCTGATTCATCTGAAACATTTCAAGAATTTGTACGAACCATATTTGATGATATAATTAATGTTGCCTGTGGTGATTATTTAGAATTTAGTGATAAATGTCAACAATTACCATTATTAACCAAACCATCATTATTAAAGAATAAAAAAAGACCAAAATCAATATTAATACCATTGATTGAAATTTGGGATCAATCGGCAAATTGAAATACATAGTTTCTGCTTTTCTGGTTTTCTGGTCTTTTTTCTGGTTTGACAATGGCTTCGTGGTTCTTCTGATGGTCATCATCATTATTATTAATATTTCACTGACGTCATCATCATCATCCGCATCATCAATTTATATAGTCGCAAATGGAAAAAATTTCTATTTCTACACAACCATCATCATTATCATCATCAACAAAATAATGTGAGGTGAAAATAGACAAGTGTAAATCATTTTGGAAATTGTTTAAAATGAACGACAAATTTGGCAATGATAATGGTGACGATGTCAAATGTCAAAAAGATTTTTGAACTTTTTCTTTTTTTGCTGAACAATTTCCTGTTTGTTAATGAAAAAATGAAAATGTAAAAAATGTTTATCAAACTTTTCTGGAAATTTCTCTCTTTTTCCCTCTTCTTCGATGGATTCAAAAAAAAAGCTATTTAGTAAATAAATAAATAAACGAAACAAAAAAGTTTTATTTTTACATTGAAATTCAATTTTCAAGTGTTAATAATCATAATTTGTTGTTGTTGTTTGTTTGACCAAAGATTAAAAGTAAATGCAGCAGCAGCAGCAAGAGGAGGATAAATTATATTTGTTTGTTTGTAATTTAGTTGTTGAAATGTTTACAAAAAATGTCCATGTGTATGTGTGTGTGTGTGGACATCCACAATCATATATCATATGACAAATAATGGATAATTTGGAAATTTTCCAGCAATTCTTTTCGATCTGGCCAACCAAACAGAAAAAAAATCATTGATGATGAGATAAAAAAATGGACAAATGGAAATGAAAATGAAAAAAAACATGCCGTTTTCATAATGTATATAAAAATAACGAAAAAAATCAAATTAAACTGTTTTTCAATTTGTAAAAAATCCATGATTTTCGATCGATCGATCGATTTCGATTCATTGATTTTCAATTTTATTTGTTTTTTTTATTTTTGGAAAAAAAACAATTTTTTTCTTGGTTGTAAAACTAAATAGAAATTTTTTTTCAATTTTTTTATTGTTTTCTGGTTTTTGGTTTTCTGGATTCTGGATTCTGGTTTTGGTTTTGAAAAGGAATTGAACAAAAATGAAACATTTACCCATCATACTGCTTTCTTTATCGACAAATTATTTATCAATAATAATCAATATCGATTGTTTGGCTGTTAATTCCCGATCATCGCCATCACGATCATCATCAACATCATTAACTACAAAATGTCCGCAATCAATACTTGATTCATATGATCAAGATATGGCACGTTTAATGACTATTGGACAACGTATTTGGCCGGAAAGTTTTCAGGAAAGTAAAACATTTTGTGTGTAAGTATTTTATGGATATTTTTTTTCAAAAATGAAATTCACTTAACCCCCATTAATGATTTAACCCCCTTAATGAATTTTTTTCTTTACAGGGAAAGTCGCCATTTATTTGATAAAATAACCAACTATAAAAATCGTTGTTCAACCGGAACAGCCAAACAATTTACATCGGTTATTATCTATTCAATACAACGTGCACATAAAACATATTGTCCAAATAAAGCAACCAAAAAAGCAATGAATTTTTTTCGCTTACAATCATGTACAAATCGCGTAACGAATCAAACCGCTAGATGTTTAAATCATTATAATGAACAATTACAGGCAATCAAACGGGCGCCAATACCGAAACAAATTCCACATGTTTGTTGGTAAGCATATCTATTCTTTCTGAGAAACTTTCCCGGAAAAAAATCATTAATTTTTATCGTTTTTTGTTTTTCACACCATTCCATTGTATCGATCTTTATCGATAATCGATTGTATCGATTCTTTTTTGATTTTCAAAAGTCAATATTTTGAAATGTTAAAATGTTTTGAAAAAGAATATGAAAAATTACCAAATTGCAGTGATTCGGCTGAAATATTTTTAAATTTTGTTCGACAAATTTTCGATGATATTGTTAATCTATCATGTCAAGATTATACTGAATCAAGTGATCGTTGTGATCATCTAGGACAACCACCATCCATACCGATGATTAAAGATAAAAATTGGAAACATTTTAAATCATTTATATTGCCATTAGTGGATATTTGGAACAATATTGATGGTTAAATTTCAAACGACAACAGAATTTATTTTTTAGCAAAGAAACCAAATGGTTAAATTTCAATATGTCAAAAATATGTCAAATGTCAACCCTTCCATTTCCGTTTATTTTAATTGATGATAAATTTTCCGGAAAATAAATAATGATAATAAAAAAAAGGGTTTATCATAAATTTTCTTTCCGAAAAACTTTCTTTTCTGAAATTGTAACAAAATTGAAAAAAAACCCAAAAAAGTCAAAATCAAAGTGTTTTGATGAATGATTTTTGATGGAAATTTTTGTTTTATTTAAAAAAATGAAACCTTTTTTTCTTTATTCATCATCAAAAGTAACATTGGACGATGATGATAATAAGTACATCCATCACCCTTTTCTTTTTTATAAATGGCTCGATGTCAAGCCAAAAGTCACATCTGACGAAAGACTGACAAACAGCAAGAACCAAGAATGACAAATGTGATTTTTTTTCGGGAAAATTCTGTACAATTTTTCTTCAAAACGTCAAACCAGAAATCATAAATTGAATAATAATTCGGAAACCAAACGAAAATTTCGTAACATCTTTGTGGCTGGGAAGGGGGGTTGAAAAAAAAACCAAAATTTTGGATTTTTTTTTTTTTTTGGTTACCAAAAAACAACAACAGCAACAAGGGGGAGAAAAACGGTAACATTCTGCCTTCCCTCTTCGTTAATCGTTAGTTAGATTAATTTTGTTGTTGTTGTTGAACAAGAATTTGTTGTTGTTGTTGTTGTTGTCAACGATCATAATTCATTTTTTTTCTTCTGTAAGTAACATAAGGCTCGTTTTTCGGATTCTGCAAAATGGATTTTTTTTTGTGAAACACATGGTGGATTTTATTGGCGTTATAATATTTGACATTTTTTGGTGATGGAATGAATAAATGAATTGGGCTGAAAAAAATAAAAACCGAAGAAGAAGAATATTCCTGGCTGGATAGATTCGATTGAATTAGAGAATTTAAAGTTTTTTTCTCTCTCTCTTTCTCTCTCTGTCGTAACAAATGTTCAACTTTGACAAATTCTCTCTCTCTCTCTCTCTCTCTCTCTCTCTCTCTCTCTCTCTCCATGAATAGAGAGATTCTAATTATAAAGAAGAAGAAGTGAGACTAACAAAAAACGAAGAAAAAAAATTTCGCAAAACAAAACGAAAAAAAATGCATTGATTTTGACTTTTTGATTTTCATTTTGACTTTTTTCATTTCATTTTTATTCATTCGAATGAATAGAAAGATTTTCTCTCTAGAGATTTTTTTTTTCGTTTCCGATTTTCAGAGATTTTTTTTTCTGTTTTTTTGTTTTTGAAAAATCAAAAATGAATGATGGATCGATAACATCATCATTGGGAAACCAAAACAAAAAAAAAGTTATTTTCGAAAAAAAACCAAAGTTCAAATTCGGTTTTTTGTTTTTGTTTTTTAGTTTTTTTCACCAAAACCAAAAAAAAAGAAAGCCAAAAGGATTCAAGTTTGTTCAAAAAGATTGATTCAAAACAAAACAAAACAAAAAAAGCTGATTAGTTTCATCAACAGAATAAATCCTTTTTTCTTGGTGTTGTTGTTAATGGTTTCTCTTCTCTCTCTCTCTCTCTCTCTCTCTCTCTCTCTCTCTCTCTCTGTTTCTGTTTCCGTTTTTTTTGTTTGGTTAGAAAAAACAGAGAGAAAAAAAAAAA